CAGCTACAGAGCCCGAAAAGGTCACCAGTTGTCACCAGTAGTGTGAATTGTGTCCCCGGTGGTGTCTTGAACATTCCTCATCTGGTCAGATTTGTGGCTCCTACCGACATGATTAATATCACAAGGTTAAGCCTACATGATGCATTGCGGGATTGTTACAATTGATGGACACTGGCATGATGTTCCCACAACAACCTGACTGTAGTGTCTGTGGTGCACATGTGAAGCAGGATCACCCGTGATCCTCATTGTGGGGGCCACCAGGGTCCACAGCAGCAGTCGCGCTGCACTGCAGGGAGAAAGTAACATAACGCCACCAGCAGACTGTTGTGAAATGTACCAGCAACAGGGAGTTTGCAAGGACATGATAAACACCAATAGACCCAGCCATACTCTGGTCACGTTGTTGGGAACATAGAAAGGTAACATTATCGTGGTTGTAATACTCTGCATTATCTTGGCAGGTTACCATTAGCAAAGCATATTACACGCGGTATCAGCTCACAGCAGCCTAGAGAGGAAATATCAAGTCAAGACTCAAAGTTTCAGCCCCTGGGTGATCTGCAGGTAACCATTCATGTTATTTATTAGAACATCTCAAAGCTCAGTGGAAGCACTGGCCAATGTGAAGAGAGTGGGTGATAGATAGCCAACCACGGCGATAAATATACTTCAGTAAGTAAAGGTTAGCGGGGAACACGAAAGAGTAGCAAAAGCAACACAGCAACAACAACTCCGTGAAGAAAGAGGATGTCGATAGCCAGTCAAAAGCAACAGACACGCAACGGACATGTGGATAAAGAGCTACATGTATGTCGTAGTTAATGTAAAAGGGGGTGGAACGGACCATGGTAATTGGTGCAGTATACATCTCTGCATTTCAGTCTCAAATTCGCAGCATGGTGTGCAGAAGAGCTGCGTACAATAGCATTACTTCGATCATACGTCAGTCAAGTCATATCATCATCAAGGCCACAACAGATTGTATAGTGAGCCGGGCTTCTTTTCAACTTCAAACTTCAAGGTCAGCGCACGCTGTCCGGCAATAGTCATTGTTGTACGCCATGATACCAGAAAACAGAAAGGTCATAATTTGATGGGTCTCGGACAGGTTATCACCTCTAGCTTACGCGTAGCTTGAAAGCGCCTGCAACGACCGCAACCCACGCGGCCAGGCTGGTAGGTGTCTCCCCTGTGATTGTCTCAAAGTCCGAAAGATCCTCTTGATTTACAGCCGGCTCCTCATCGTCCGCAAGCCGAGCCAGTTCCAGAATGCCATTCAGCTGCCATTTGGGCAATTTACTGGCGTGTTTGAACAGCGGTTTTATCTGCCCGTACGAGATCTGAATGTACTTGACTTTTTTTCCCAGGGCTGTGGTGAAGTCCTGCGCCAAGTCTGCGTTGGAGTGGCGGTCACTGACAATGTTGTAGGTCTTGCCGAGGTGCACGGACGGACGTCTCAGAATCGCAGCGGCCGCAACGCCCGCATCCCTGACGGCAACCAGCGTGAACTGCTTGTCCGCTCCCACTGGGCCGTAGAACACTCGCTGACCCATGATGGTTTTCTGGTGTGCCCAGATGTTCTCGTAGAACGCTGGCAAGCGCAGAAACGTGTACGGCACGCCGGCTGCCCGCACGTGATTCTCTATGTCGGAAAAGTGCTTGCCAAATATCGTCTCGGGACAATCTGCCGTGCAGATGCTCAGTGCCAGAATGAAACCGACGCCTGCAGCGCCGGCTGCATCGACAGTCTTCCTAACCAGTTCAGCCCTATTCTCCACCGCAGGCGCAATGATGTAAAGGCAATCCACGCCTGTTAGAGCACGCTCCATGTTTGGATCACCCATCTCCGCTTTGACAATGCTGACATCGTCCAGCGCCTTGAGGTCCTCTGCTCTCTCCGGGCTCCTCGTACCAGCCAGGATCGTTACCTCCTTGCCGTATCTCTGCGATAGAGCCGTTGCTGTGGCGAGTCCAACTTGACCGCTTGCCCCGGTCACAAATACCACTGGCTTTGCCATTTCACTCCATGTAGATCTACATGCACACCTACAATCACACAGTTCACTGTTCAGACACGCCAGTATGTAATAATAGTACTGCACTGGTTTTCTGCGTTCGGATGTCCAGGACCTGGGCTGAAACGCACTGCTGATCTATTCCTTTCGGAGACTTTCCAATTGAAGTGGAATGCAGCTACGGGCACTACAAATTTCTGGAATCACGATTCAGACAACACTGAACACGCCTTCATGGCACACAGTGTACATACTCGGCCTCAGTCTGAATACTCAGAACAGCGATCACGGATCAGTTCCCTTCACAGGCTGCTCGCGACTCCACCGCGCTTTTCTTACCTGTATGTAGGAAAGGCTGACTGGCGCGTGGCGTTCCGTGCAGCCAGGTAGCAGCACGCACTATCGAGCGACGCGCACCTCTCTACTAAGTAATTGTAGTATGATGTTCATTTCATGAAGTGCCATTGCTTCAATAACTAAACTACTTTTAATAGTTTAGACCATGTACAATTATTTGTAGACTGAAGTCAGATAAATTATTGTAGATCTCATAAAATCACGACTTGCCCTCGGCCTCGACCACGACTTTTTTATTCTGTAGACAGGGGTCAGTAGATCTGCTCTGTGTAGTCGCGGGCATGCATGCAGCCTTAAAGGGGCACTCCGGCTTCATTTTCGACGCCGAGTTTTCGATGCCAAGACAAAGGTAGGTGAAAGAGAAGACCCCTCGAACAAGAACGAGTCTCCAGAAGCGATCGAGTCGAGCAGGAAGACGACTTTTCAATTTCGGCCGAGCGAGCGCTGATGACGTAATGAGGGATTAGCTTGCCAGTGGAAATGCATCTGCGCACATACATTTCACACACTTTTTGGCCAATTTTCAATCGAAGAAGAGGTTGTTTGCTATGTTCTCCCAACGCCGTGAGCGATCCCGTCTTCTATACCCTTCCAGGTACCCTGAAGGTCCTCCAGAGGAGAATTTATCTCCATCAAAGCGTTGTTGATCCGCTAAATTCGTCTCGAGACATATTCACCCAGTGCAGTGCTGATAAATGTAGAATGTTGAATCTGTGATAATTGTCGACGATGGAGAGAGAGGCTGATAGCCGCTGTCGCAGGGAGAGTGAAGCTGCTGGAAGTAACAACGGGGAGCCCGTTTGTATCACCTGAACAACCAGACTTCAAAGCAGCTTGACCAAATCGGAGGGTGCCTCGTTGCTTATCGTGAATATTACACCGACATGAATTACTACAAATATACTGGTGAGTTTTTATCTTGTTTTGTCCGTATGCTAGTACCCTGGCCTGGAGTTCTCGTTAGCAAATTCCTATTCCCTGGCGTTTTCTAAACATTCCGTGTAGGACTGAATACGTGATCAAGTATTCCGATTTGGGTAGATGTGGAATTTGGACATGTATTTTATTAAAAAAATTATTTTCCGAATAGAGCGTTTGTAGAGAAATGGTTGCCCAAATACAACAAAATTTATTCTGCAGTTCTACAATACTGAAATCCAGTCAAAGTAAAAATGATTCTTCATGACAGTTGGGGTCAATGAAATCTGATCCAGGCATAGCGAAGGGTGACGCCTGCCACCCCGGGAACGAATGCCCATTTGGTGGGGGATACCAAAGTACTCGAAAGTAGTGCGTGTTTCAATGTGGCATGGACGTTTTATATGATCTCTGGTCAATGCAACATACGATAGCCATCATGAATTGCAGGCCTCGAACGCAACTCCGACCAGAATTGGCAGTTCCCTAAGTTAGATGCTTTATAATTCCATGGCCCCAGCTGTAGTTATAGAGGTTTTTTTTGCACATTATTCTTATACAGTCAAATCTGCCGTTAGCGACCTCTGCTGTAGGCGACCATCTACCGTTAGCGACCGATTTTCCGTGCACCGACGGTTTCACATACAAACTGATCTGTCCAGAGCGACCATCTGCTGTGCGCGACCAGCGACCGCGATTTCATGCACGGTGGCTGCATTCGAATCTGCTGTAAGCGACCGCGACCCAGGTTCAGTAAGGTGCGAAACTGTACTTGCCAGTGTGCTGTCAACTGCAAAGTGTGAAAATGCGCTGTCTTGCAAGTGCGATCGACTGGCGCCTGGCCTGTACTGAGGCTGTGCTGTAGCTCTCAGTCTCAAGTCCAGGCAGTGTCGATCTACTGCCGTGTCGCATACGCGTACTATACGGGTATGGTCGTCGTTGAATATCCAATAAAATAATGTGATTTTTAATATTATTAAAATCACATTATTCTCGTCGATTGGAGTACATGGAAGCATATACCTGGTATGCCGGATTTACCATACATCTGCCGTAAGAGACCATCTGCCGTAAGCGACCGCTTTTTCTTGCACCAAGGGGCGGTCGCTTACGACAGATTTGACTGTAGTCGATAGGTTTATACTGATGGCCACAAACAACGGCAGTTTAAACTTCACTGATGTGTTCATGAGCTGAGAGATTTCTCTCCACTATTTCTGTTGTGCACACAGGCCTGTCCAATATGCATTGACCGTATTGGGTACCTGCTCTGAGAAGGGAATCGCTGGAGCCACAGTCCAACTATACAGGCTTTCAAGAAACAGAGAGGAGCCATCTTTGCAAGCTGATACCCGATGTGTACCGACAGAATTCTCACGAGATACCTTACGGACTACGCCTGGTGTATACTTCATAGTACTCCTTCGACTACTGTCTAGAATCAAGTCGACTGAAACAAGTTCAAACAACTCTGGCTTCAAACGAGCCGTCGATTAGACAAACAAAACATTCTCTCATATACTAGAGCACTCTGACAACTCACGACCTATTCCTAACGATAGCCACCGCTTATAAATATGTAGAGTACTGATTGGAATGTGCTCACAATCTCAACAATTCAGTGCTATAATTATTTGAACTATGTGTTCCTTCCATAAATGTTGTATCCACATATAATCCACAGTGCTGCAAAGTTTCAGAGTTCTCAGGGTATCAAACAAAATTATTTCAAATACAGTGAAATTGTTCGTGGACATTATGGCATAACTTGTAGTTCCCTGGTCCTTTTCTTTGCTATAAATTAATCCTTTGCTCTCTAGCCGCCGGCGAGTCCAACAGTGAAATTGTTAGTTCATATTTATGTGTGTGTGGGGGGGGGGGGGGGTTGAACATATTTCTATATACTGTAATGTCGCGTGCATTAGCCGGGGCTTATATGCCTATAAGCCGGTGATGGAGTCAGGCTTGTACACAAGACAGGCTTATACACGAGACAGGCTTATATGACAAGCACCACTCAATGACCAGGCTTGTATGCGCAAACTGCTGACTTTTGGACGTCAAAACCAACATTTTCCAACGGGATTTTTTTTCTTTTTTTTCGCAAGTGTACGGTACCATGCAAACATGAACATGTAAAAGGCGCGCTCACCAGTCTTGCGTAGTAGCCCGGCTTACGCACGCGACACGTGGCGCGTCTCGTGTACTGGCCCGGCTTATGCATGCGACAGGCTTGTACGCGAAAAGCTGTTGCAGATTTCATGCTTCTACACGAGACAGGCTTATGCACAAATCCGGCTTATGCACGCGACATTACGGTAAGGGACCTGCAACTGTAATACCACAGTACAGTAGATAGCAAATACTAGTGTAGAAAACAGAAATGCATGTTCCCATCATTGTACATGGACGGGCGCAGCAGGCCGAAGCTATCAGCCAGAACAGGATTTACAATCGCCTAGAGATACTTGAGCTATTCCAGTATTCTCCGTGAGCTGTCCCATTCCACAATGGTTCATGCCACCATTATTTCTGGTAGTATCCATGTGCATAATTCCACGACCATCTCGGATTCTTCAGCAATTTGTGCCACGGCAAAAGACAACGCTTGACTCGGTCACTGGGACTGTCAAACTTCGCATCACAAATGAACTTCAATTTCTCATCTGGTTCCAGTATATGTACTGCCATGACTTGACCATGCTTCATCCACAGCTGGGCGAAGATTGTGGCATTGAATTCCATAGCGCACCCTCTTGCTGCCATGCAGGAGTATGTTGAGAGAAGTGAACATATTTTTACTAAAAAAACAACAGCCCTGAAGAGGATAGCATTAGCAATAGCCTTGGGTGAATTTCCTGCAGGTACACGTTGTTGGTAGGTCTACTGGTCGGTCTCCATATCGTCAAGTTCAGAAATCACCTGTACTACACATCTTGTAGAAGGGATCCTGATCGAAAAATGTTCTGATCATAAAATTCACTAAACTGAGGGCGAGACAAATAGTCAGATGCCGTCTAGCTGCTTTGATCAAGTGATGCTAACAAGCTCCCCGTTGTTACTTCCAGCAGCTTCACTTTCCCTGCGATAGCGGCTATCAACCTTTCTGTCCATCGTCGACAATTATCACAGATTCAACATTCTACATTTATCAGCACTGCACTGGGTGAATATGTCTCGAGACGAATTTAGCGGATCAACAACGCTTTGATGGAGATAAATTCTCCTCTGGAGGACCTTCAGGGTACCTGGAAGGGTATAGAAGACGGGATCGCTCACGGCGTTGGGAGAACATAGCAAACAACCTCTTCTTCGATTGAAAATTGGCCAAAAAGTGTGTGAAATGTATGTGCGCAGATGCATTTCCACTGGCAAGCTAATCCCTCATTACGTCATCAGCGCTCGCTCGGCCGAAATTGAAAAGTCGTCTTCCTGCTCGACTCGATCGCTTCTGGAGACTCGTTCTTGTTCGAGGGGTCTTCTCTTTCACCAACCTTCGTCTTGGCATCGAAAACTCGGCGTCGAAAATGAAGCCGGAGTGCCCCTTTAACCCTTGCAGGCTAGCTGGCGGCTACAATTGTAGGCATCAGGCTTACTCCGTGACCTGGTGACAGTGGTGACGTATCCGGAAAAGCCAAAGACAGATTTTCTCAAACGTTTTTTTCTTGTCCGGTAGAACAGCAGTGAGGCCTGAGTGAGGGGCTGAGGGCTGCACCAGCACTGCTGCAGCTACACTCGCTGATCTGACGACTACCTTCGCCGAGATCGTCCATGACCCTGCCAGACCAGTCGAGCTGCCCCTACCCGTTGCAGACCCCAATGGCGCTACTCTTTCGGAGTTTGATACCGTCAGCGTCGATGCCATCTCGAAGTTGCTTGAATCTCTGGCATCCAACAAAGCCACCGGCTCCGATGATATTCCGTCCTGCTTCCTGAAATCCTGCAGAGATTCAGCCTCGTATCCCATAACTGTTATCGTCAACCAGTCCCTTCGCTCTGGCATCTTTCCTACTGCCTACAAATTTGCCCATGTCTGCCCTGTTTACAAGTCTGGTGATAAGACCGCAGCCACCAACTACAGACCAATCTCACTGTTGCCTATCGCTGCCAAGATCCTAGAGAAGGTTGTCCACAAGCAAGTCACTTCGTATTTCACCCAGAATCCAGACCTATCTGCCTTACCAGCTGAACAATTTGCGTACCGCTC